TGTTCAGCATCTTAACTGTAGAGGGCATTGTCACTGACCCTCATATGTGGGATCTGAACCAGGGCCCTCTGGCATCCCAAGCCAGCTCTTAACCCTCGCGCCACTTGGCGGGCCCTAAATGTTTCTTTTTAAAATGGCATTATAGTCTCTCTTGTGGGTATTAATTGTTTTTAAAATCTTTCATTTCCTTGCATAGTCTCTATATGACAAGTTGCTTTTTTCCCCCTCTCATATTAGTAGTAACTTTCTTCAGATAGCTGATAATCCTGGCTTGTCTGCTAATCTTAAAGAATGAGGAACTAAAAAACTGATTGGAAGCTCTGGATGCATGGCTAGGTTTTGTTGGCTGTGTGCTTTATTGTTGGATAGCCCTGTCCAATAGAAATATAAGGTGAGTCACATGTAATTTTGTATTTTCTAGTAGCCACAGAAAAAGGCAAAGAAAAAAGTGAAAAAGAAACATGAAATTAATTTTAATATTCCAATTTATCTAAACTATTTCAACATGTAAGAAGTATTAAATTATTGAGATATTTTACTTTCTGCTTTTTATATTAAGTTATTGAACTCCAGTGTTTATTTACATTTATGGCACATCTCAATTCAGATTCTAAATTTTCATAAAAAATACTTGATGTGTATTTAGACTTAATAAAATTTACAAGTGAAAAGTAGATTTACATACCCAGGGTGTGCCAAACAGTTAAGTTTGAAAATAACAAAATATTAGTTTTTAAATTTAAATTTTGTTAAAAATCCTTCCTCAATCACACTAGCCACATGAGAAGTGCTCCATAGTTACATGTGACAAGTGATACTGGACAGCAGTGCTCTAGGGTGATCTACTTGAACTATGTTGGTAGCTTTAGATGTGTTTTTCAATTCCCCAGAGAAGACTTTCAACCTTCTGTCTGACTCAGGGATAAGAGCCAGGCTGCTGGGGTATTTAGAAACTAGTAGGGGGAAGGTGCTGGGTTTCTCAGCATGTAGTATGCATTGATTAACTTTTTTTTTTTTTTTTGGTATGGGATCCCTACCCACAACTGTACCTGGCATCCCCCAATCCAGAGACCCTCTGTTTTCTCTGTTTAACCCTCTTCTAAGAATACACTTCCAGACTTCTGCTGGAGTAAGGGAGGACAGTTTCCCAAATTGCATGTGTGGGGCCAGGGTGGGAGGATCTACAGATCTAACGGCTTACACAGCTTTCAGCCAATCTTCTTTCTTATTGGTTGAAATAATCCCCTATTTCTTCAGGAATTGCTGTTAATTCCTGAGCCTTTTGAGGATCTTTAAGTATAATTTGGATTGGTTATTGGCTTTTTCTACTTCTGGTTTTGGACTCAACTTTCTTAGGTCTGTTGGGTTTATCACTAGCCCTTGCATTTATTTCCCTAGCTTCAAAATTTGGTTGCTATTGTGCTTTTCTGGTTCTTCCCAACCTTGTAGTCTCCTTCCTTCCATCATGTTCTACTTTCTAAACATTCCTTTTCTGTAGATTTAGAAGGGTTTCAAGAAGGGGAGAAATTAGATGCTTTGATTCAGTCTACCATCTTTCTACTTGGAAGTTCCTATTAATCTGTATTCGTGAGCAAATTTTGATATTTAAAGAAATTTTATTCAATATTCTTCCTTCAGTATGGATATTTGTAGTTGAAGGTTTTAGCGGAAAACTCAGTAGGAGGGACAGGAAGATGAAGTATTTAGTGCCGACAGGCTAGGGAAGTGAGGGGTGAGTTTGGGGGGAAAAGAGAATTGACAGTGAACAAGGATGGTGATGAGAATGGAAGCATTTAGAGGTAGGTAGGATGATTAGAGTCTTTATGAAAAAGCTTGGTCATCTGAGGCGAAAGCCATAAATATAGCTCCAGTGGCATTTATCTTCCTGGACTCCACTATTTTTAGTTCTTTCTACTTTTCATGATTTAGGGACCTCTATAGCTAAGAGAATCCACAAAACAACTAATGATGACAAAAAACAAAACAAAACAAAAAACAAACTGAACAAAGCTTACTGTTTGCAAACACACTATACATAGGATCTGTAAGGAAAACACACAGCATTAAACAAGAAAACAGTACACCCTCAATACACTGTAGCAGCAGGTTCCATGTCAGTAATTGAATTGAGCTTGCTGTTGCTCTTGAGTTCTGAAACAGAATTTTGTCTGTCCTGTGATTTGCTTTGCAAGTAGATGCTGCCCTCTGTTGGACTAGTTGAGGAAATGCAGCTTATGTCCTGCATGGATGTTTTTTGTCTTGACTCAAATTGAGCACTAAAACATAGATAATTTTTTTAAAGAATTAAATCTGTTTTTAATGATGCACCAAGGGAAACTAGTATCTTCCTTCTCATTTATATATATATGTGTATATATATATATATATATATATATATGTATATATGTATATATTCTAAAGGCAAGAGTTAGAAGGCGTTAAATAGGAATAAGGCAGAAGAATTTGGGGAATGCAAAAATTTGGGGCTTTGGAATCTGGAGACTGGAGTTCCATGCACAGCTTGCCCCTAATCATGTGACCTCGGTGATTTACTCCACCTGTCTGAACTTCAGTTTCTTCATTGATACAATGAAGAGGTGGAATAGATTTGAGGGCTTCTCCAGGGATTGCTATTTTAGGAAAGCAGTCCCAGTTAATGGTATTTGTTCATCGGAGATGTACTGACTAAGTCCCAGGCTCTGCCCTGAAGGAACTGAGTCTGGAAAGGGATAGAGGAGGCAGACAATCAGAAGACAATTGTAATCCACTACTAGTGCTGTGAGACAGGCAAGTACTATTACTGTGCAAACATGAGGAGAGCTACCTGTCCATTGAGAGGCGGTGCCATCCTGTAGGGCATCTTGGAGTTATTAGTCTTGAAAACACAATCTAGGTGGGAAGCAGCAGCCTGGTAAAGTCTGGGGTGGTGAGACAGCATGATTTGTTTGTTAACCTGCAACTAGTTCAGGATGCCCAGAAGATAAAGAGTTTGAGGTGGAGGATTGGTGGAGAGATGGGTTGAAGGAAAGAAGCCGAAGGAAAGAAGTGTTAGCAATTTGGATTTTGACCTGAGAGCATTGGGGAGCTGTTGAAGGGTTTTAAATGGGGAAATAACATGGACAGTTTTGCGTTTTAGAAAGATTACTCTTGGATGCAGTATGGAGAATGGATTCACTGTGGTGCAGATGGGACTGAAGGCAGGGAGATCAGTTAGGAGGCTGCTGCAGTAAATCAAGCAGGAAATAATGGTGCCAACTTGGGTAGTGGTAGTGGGAATGGATGGAAGAGAAATAAGAGTCTGTAGGCAGAAGGAATACGTTGCTGGTTTCCCTGCAGCTGTGAACAGTCCCACTGACACTGATTCATTAGATCCAGGTTCTGTTACATCCATCCCAGAATTGTTTAGGTTGTTGTTTGGTTCCCTCAGAACATTTTGAATTTGGAAGATAAGGTGCTGGAAGCAGTTGCTCTAGGAGCAAATAAGTTTGACCTTGGCAATGACAGCCAAACTGTACACATTGACTTTTTTGTGGTTTGTGTCACTTCTGTGTGCTGGTGACTTAGGGTGTGGGTGACAGAAGGAACTGTTAGTCTCCTCGGGTGTTGCTGCCTCTCCCTCACCATCCTTCTGCCTTCCATCTTCAGAAAGCAGCACACATGAAGTAATTTTAAATTCCATTAATGTTGAGCAAGGCTCTTATGGTTTCAAGTGAGTGATTAGTGCTCAATCAGCAGAAGCTTGACCTCTGGACCATGGAGGGCAAAGTTAAGATTCACAGATTTAACTGAACCCTGACATGGGAACAGGGGTATAATGATATAGATTTTTCTTGTTCGTAAAAAAGTTAGTAAAATAGCTTTGTAGCATGGTCAGAACTAGGTTTTCATTAGTTGAGGAAAGTTAGTCAAGAGGTATTCACTATACTCTCCTAAGGACATTAGCAAAAAGAATATGGCTTAGAATTAAGTATTAGGATGAAGAAGAATAACTGCTTTCTCACACTTGCTCATTCAGACTTTTTTTCTTATTAAAGTATAGCATGCATACAGAAGAGAACATAAAACATACAGAATAATTACATACCAAACACCCATGTAACCATCATCTATGTTAAGAAATAGAATATTGTAAGTACTCCATAGCCCCCTTGTCCCCTCATGCAGTCACAACTCTTCCACCCACCTTGTCTTGACAGTTGTGGTCATCATTCCCTTTATAATTTTATATCCTAAATAGTATAATTTAATTTTGCAATTTTAAACTCAGTGTAAATGAAATAATACATTCATTTTTATGTTTGTGAGTAGCTGTACATTCGTTCACTTTCCTTGTGTAGTTGTTTTCCACTGTACCAGTATACCAGTTTATTCATTCTGCTTTTGATGGCTATTTGGATGGTTCTGTTTTAGATCGTATGGTGTTGCTGTGAACAGCTTTGTTACACACATTCTGCCACATATGTGTGAGTTTTCTACGGGGTAGATATATAGAAATCAATGTGTTGAGTTGTAGTATATGTGCATATTTAACTTTGCTGATAATGCTATACTGTTTTTCTAATTGGCCATAGCAATTTACATTACCACCAACAGTATGTGAGAGCTCCCGCTGCTCTGCGACTAGACAGACATGAACACTTTTGAGAGTGCAAGATGTCTCATGTGGTTTTAGTTTGCATTTTCTTGTTTACTAATGAAGTTGAGCACTTTTCATAGGTTTATAGGTTACAGGATTCAGAGTCTTTTCAGATCTCCATCCTTTCCCTTCTTTTTTCTTTTTCTTCAAAGAGCCATATGTTAGTGACCTTAAAACTCTTCCTGTCCCTTACCTAAGGGACTGCGCTAAGGAATAGTTTGGCAGAAATCTTTTAGCTTGTGGGAAGGAGTTTAGATCCTTTCAATTCATTTTCTCTTCTTTTTTTGCCCCAACCCATCTGGTGTTTGGGAGGTTTGCTGGCATTGCACTGAGCTTTCTTCTCCTTCTTTTTTCCTGTTCCTAGACTCTGAAGCGGCTCATGGCAGATGAGGTAAGGAAATTTTGTTCAGCATGTGCATGTTCTAGCTCATTTCCTACACTATGATATTTACCAGTTGCTATAACTTTGGTTTTCTATATCTTGTGATGTTGGTATAGGTTCTATTCTCATATCACCCCCAAAGCTTTTTCCTAACCCTTTGCTCTGTGTTGGTCCTATTGCATGCATTACCCTGATACATTCATTGGCTTCCGAGGTCAGGCACGTTCTTTAAACTCCAAGCTAACTTGTGGTTTGGATGCCACTCACATCACTTGAAGCCCACAATGCTTGCAGATATTTACTGTTACTTTCAAACAGAGAGAGCTGATAAGCAGCAGCTTATCAGTGACTCTTTGATTTGAGCATCTATACTTGAGGTTGGAGGAATGATTCATGAGCATTTCATTGGCAAAGAGATGGCAGACATACCCCTGAAGTACACTGCATTCTTTGCAAAGGGGATTTTGAAGACTATGTATTGAACTTTTGCTGCCTACATGACACAAGTTCTGTGGCGTGTACAGAAGAAAGATAAAGGAATGGTTCTTGGTTTTAAGGCATTTACTTGTTTATTCTACAAGTGTATGACTTACCTCTATTAAAATTTGCAGTCATACTTACCTCTCGAAGGGAGGGATCCTCTGAGGGCCTGGCCAGGTTTATTGGTGGACAGCTAGAGGGAAACAAAGGGCATTTTATTGAGATAGCTGTGTGCATGAGATGCATTCAGTCCTGTGCTGCAAGAGGGCTTAGAAAAGGCAGGGGAGCCCAAGAACAAAGTTTTCTTTTTTTAGAGAGGGCCCAATCTTAATTCTCCAGCTTTCTTATCTTTTAATGAAGATGAGAGTACAGTCGGTATACTAAATTAGATATGAAGAAGACGGGTTTTTTCTTTTCATGTCAGAAGAATCTTGAACTGCCCACAGCCAGAGGAATCACACATGTATAAGAGGTTAGAGGGTTGGCTATCTGATATGCGGTTTGTTTGTGTAAATGAAAATGGATCTCTGCTAATACTTTTTTCTCTTTCTCAGCTGGAGAGATTTACCAGCATGAGAATTAAGAAGGAGAAGGAAAAGTCCAATTCTGCTAATAGAAATTCTTCTGCATCATATGGGGATGATCCCACAGCACAGTCGTTGCAAGATATTTCAGACGAGCAAGTTCTAGTACTTTTTGAACAGATGCTGGTAAGCTTCCCACCTCAAAACATTGGTTCTTTCTGATAATGCATTTATGAGCATGGTGGACCCTATTTTGTGCATGGCCCCCCTAACTAGCTTTTAATTACAAAGAGTTCCAGACTTAACAGGGAACTTCTTAATAGCAATCCCATTAAAGAAGGAACTAAATATACAAGCACCAGTCCATAAGATTGGAATCTATGAGTTAGGCTCGGGAATATCTGATCACTGACCACCTTGTTAATGTCCTACTGCCCAGCAACACTTTAGCCACAAAGACACAAAGTGGATCAACTCATGTGGTAATTAGTGTGGGGACAATCTTTGGGTTAGCCAGAGTAGATAAACTGTTAAAACTTTTTCAGTAAACTGTATACAAGAAACTGAGGAATGGAAAGGCATCATTTGCCCAAGGTCTTCTATTTAGTGGTGAATCTGGAAAAAGAATTCTGGTAACCCTTATCACTAGAAGACCTTTAGCGATTGCGGCTGAGGTCAGTTGAGTAATGAAGTGTACATGGATGTGGCTTCCTTTGCTGTTCCTCAGTGAGGAGGACACTTAGTGAATGTGCATTCATGACCAGTCTTGGAAAGTTTTGACTACATGCTCGTAAGGTTGCATAAGGTCTATATAGTGCCTGTATATATGATCTCATATAGAGCTAGTATAAGCCTAACTTAATTAAAAGCATGGACTTAAAACCCTTAACACAGGACCTGGTACACAGTAAACACTCAACTACTGTTATTATTTTTCCCTGAAGCCTTTAGTTTGTCTCTTAATAATTCAAGTACATTAAGAGTATGATCTATGAAGACAACCTCTTGGCCTTGGATTGCAAATTTAGATGTCTTACGGGCGAGGAAGGCAGCATAAAGAAGTTAAACAGGTTCCATAGACAATGATAAAGAGGAGGAGGACTCTGGTAAAATGAAGAAGGACTTTTGGCATTTTTGTTAGTTCCAGTAGGTTTTGTAGCATTCCAGTTGGGAATACTAGCCCAGTAGTGCCAGATATTTCTATTTTTCAAAAGAAGCCAGAAATCTGTAATTTTTTAAAAAAATTAATTCTTTAATAGAGCAAATATAGCCAGCATTCAGATTTCCCCAATTAGGTAATTTTAAAAATAATAATAATTTTTTCGTTCAAATCACAATTCCATTGTAATTAATCTCTTAAGTTTCATTTAATCTCTTAAGTTTTCTTATGGAAACTGAATTGTAGAGTGTCCCACAATCTGAAATTTGATGATTATATCCCTTGATGCTAGAAGTCCATATTTTTTATATGAAGTCTCCCAAATTTAAAATATTGAGCTAGCCAAGGAAAACGTACTTTATCTTTGGGTCTAATTCAACCTGAGGGCCACCACTTTGCAACTTCTGTGTTCCATTTATCTGTAAAATGAGGGAAAAACACCAGGAATTGAGTCAGAAAAACGTCAAATTAATATTGCTATTCAGAGGCAGTGATTCCTTTACACACACACACACACACACACACACACACACACACACACACATACTCTTGAGAAGAAATAGATTGTATCCATTTTTCCCCTATGCTTTCCCCCATTTCAAATAATATTCTGGACTTGTTAGGGTTTATCTTGTGCTTAGTGAGGCACTGGGCTCAGACATGTGTTTATACATGTCAAAGGCTCAAGCGGAGCCTTTCCCCCATGACACACTCCAGGTTATGTATGTTGAGGACCTTTATCACAGAGTTTCCATTTCTTTCTTTGCGGTAAAGGAACTTGTACAGGAACCGAGTTAACCAGGGGTAATGGATGTTTAAGCCCTAGAGTGGCACACCTTTCACTGGTGTCAATCTCGCTGGTGTTTGGATGATGCTAGTCACCCAGTGCTTCAGTCTACAGAGATTATTAAAGTGAATCCTAAGTGCAAAAAACATTATGTGTGCTTTTCTTTCAGTAATACAGAATACATTTTTGTCTATACTGAGTCCATTTTTGTTAGGAAAAAAGGTAAGTATGTGTGTATAAAAATGTCTATAAGGATTTATACTAAAATGTCAACCACATTTATCCCTGGGGAATTTTCATCATCTGTAATAGCCCAAATCTCTAGGGATCAGGAAACTTATTTATTCAGTCAGCATTTAATGTATTCAGTGCTTCGCCAAGTATACAAAATGCTAAACTCTGAAAACTTGTAAGGAATTCAAGGCAATCTTGATTTTTCCGTCTCTCCTAGCTGGATATGAACCTGAATGAGGAGAAGCAACAACCTTTGAGGGAGAAGGACATTATTATCAAGAGGGAGATGGTGTCCCAATACTTGCACACCTCCAAGGCTGTGAGTTCTGGGGCAGGTATCCATGACATGGAGACTGTGCCCTTATCTTGGACCTGATTGTTTTGCCAATTTCATAGAACATTTTATGTCTACATCAGTTCCGTTTCATCCTGTTAAAGAAGTCTACTCATTTCTTACTCTTTCCCCCTACCTCTGGTTCCCTCCCCCATCCTTCTTCTTACTCTTTTTTGAATTACCTTTCGTATGTACTTTTTATCTGATTCAGTCTTCATGAAGGGTGTATGGGGATAGGATGGGAAATTCTGAGTCTCATGAAGTTTGGTGGTACATATGTATGCAGAGTGTCTGCCCTGATGTTATCTAACTGTATGGACAAATACCAGTCCAACTTATGACTGGGTCCAGGATTTCCTAATCTCTCTGTGTGCTCCTGTCTAGGGCATGAGCCAAAAGGAGAGCTCTCGGTCTCCCATGATGTACATTCAAGAGTTGAGGTCGGGCTTGCGGGATATGCCTCTGCTCGGCTGCCTGGAGTCCCTTCGTGTCTCCCTCAACAACAACCCTGTCAGGTGAGGATTCTGAGGTGGCAACGGGAGTCAGAGCCCAAGGTTAGAGCTCATGGTGGGGATTGAAGATCAGAGGGTCAGGGAAGGAGACTATTCTGGATTGGGAGTAAGGAGTTGCCAGGATAACCTTTGTTTTGGCAAAGAAGTGTTTATTGATTTGATTTAATATTGTATTGTCTCTTCTGTCTCTTACAGTTGGGTGCAAACATTTGGTGCTGAGGGTCTGGCCTCCTTATTGGACATCCTTAAACGACTCCATGATGAGAAAGAGGAGACTCCTGGGTGAGGACTTCCACTTTTTGACATCTTCTAGGTGGAAGGTAGCAGGGGACTTGGCTTTTTGCTCTAAAGGAGAAAAAGTGGTTAAATGTAAAGTTAAGGACAAGGAGAATATGCTGTTGCCTGAGAATGGGATTTATTATACATAGGGGTAACTAGAAGACGAATGATGATTATAGATAAGGAAATGGAGGAGGAACTTAAATTTCGGGGTGAAGAACACATAAGATTTATATACCACATAAGCTTGTGAGTCTCCCAGCGCAGGTTCTTATCTGCTCTGGAATGGGGTCTGCTTTAGACCCAAGCTCCCCTGTGATTTGGTCTGGGTCTTATCTCATTTGGAAGTCTTATAATACACTTCGTCAGTTAGGGACTAGTTTTATAAAGGTCTGCAGGGTTGGAATATTTCTGGGGATACCTTGGACTGTTAGCTACTTTGAAGCCAGCGTGACCCAAAGTAGCTTCTCTACTTCCTGGAATCTTTCGAAAACAAACACAGGCCTACACCTCCTGAATGTACAGACTTCAAGCCATTGAAGTAGTGAGGCAGACGGTAATAGATGGGATGTTATCCTGGTAGAATTTAGCATTTAGAAGCCTATAGGGAGGGAATTAAAGAGAAGGTTTTAATGCAATACTAGACTTGGATTTCGAGAGGATTAACTAAAGGTCTTTTGGTGGGGATCCCTCTTCAGCTACCTGTTTTTGCCAGTACTTCAGGGCAGAGTGCTATGTGCTAGAATTTACTCAGCTACTAGTTGGGGATGTTCCTGAGACCCTTGTTTGCAAGAATGAAAAGTCAAATGGGAGAGGGGTATAGAATAAAAGGATTTCACTGATTATTTCTTCTACATGCAGAAGCTATGATAGCCGGAACAAGCATGAGATCATTCGCTGCTTGAAAGCTTTTATGAACAACAAGGTGAGATTTTTCCCATTTTCATGCCAACCCCTATCGTGACACCTACTCTTTCTCTCGTCTTGACAAACTCCAAAAAGGACCTAGGAATATGAGGTTCAAGACTTGTAGCTTTCCCTTTTAATATCAAAACTTTTTGATTGTTACATATACATGATCCTGTGGACCGTTTTTCTTTTTCTAATGTCTATTTCAGAGGATACGTTCAGTTTTCTTCCTCTTTTTGTACTTTTTTTTGGCTAATTCTTTAATTTCCTGACTTGTAGTTACTGGTTTTAAAAGTTTTACTTTATTCTCTGCTTATTTATTTGTTTGTTTGTTTTTTTGTCTGTTTAGTATTTAAACCTAGAGTGCTCAAAATTATTTGTTCCTGAGTGCAAACCTATCTTCCTCACTGTTTAATTTTGTTATAATTAACCTATTCCATTGGGTTGGAGGGGCGTTAAAAAGAAACATAAAAATCCAAGATTTTTATTCTTGGAAGACCTAGAATTCTGCTGTGTGTCTACTGGAAAATTATTTTGCTCTGCTCATTTCTGTTGAGCTCTATTGGGAAGAGTGTTCTATCCCTGTATTAGTTTGCTAGGGCTGTGTAACAAAGTACAACAAAATGGGTGTCTTAAACAACAGAAATTTATTGTCTCATAGTTCTGGAGGCTATAAGTCCAAGATCAAGGTGTTGGCAGGGTTGGTTCCTTCTGAAGGCCATGAGGGAGGGTATGTTTCATGCTTCTCTCTTAGCTTCCCATGGTTTGCTGACAACCTTTGGCATTCCTCATCTCATCTTGTAGATGCATCACCCCCACTTTCGCCTTCCTGTCCACAGTGGCGTTCTCCCTGTGTGTGTGTCTAGGTCCACATTTCCCTTTTGTATAAGGACAACAGTCAGATTAGATTAAGGGCCCACCCTCCTCTAATAGGACCTTGTTGTAACAACTAATTACGTTTGCCAATGACTCTATGTCCAAATAAGTCACATTCTGAGGTATTGGGGGTTAGTACTTCAACATATGTATTTTGGAGGGAAATACCATTCAACCCACAATGACCCCTAAACTTGTTAAATGCTGTCATCTTTAAGCCTCCCTTCTCTGTTCTTGTCCTACCAGTTTGGAATCAAGACCATGTTAGATACAAAAGAAGGAATCCTGCTGCTGGTCAGAGCCATGAATCCTGCTGTTCCCAACATGATGATTGATGCAGCTAAGCTGCTTTCTGCTCTTTGTATCCTACCACAGCCAGAGGACATGTATGTGACTGGAATTATTTCTCTTCTCCATCCTTTTTTTTTTTTTGCCATCTTCCCTAGTCTAGAGGAAAATTGAATTGCTTGGGTGCCACTTGGTCTTAAATACTAGGTAAGAACATATTTCATCCCAAACGTGAACTCCGTGAATCTTAATATTAAAGAAGGTTATTAAGTGATGGGGGCTGTCCTGAGTGTACCACTGGTTGTCACAGGTATAGCTGGATATATCCTAGATCTCCATTAATGACTGTATTACTTAGGGCAAAGGTTTCCTTTTTCATTTTTTAAAAATTCAGAAGCAATACATTATTTTTAAATTCAAATAAGACAGAAGTATATAAAGTAGTATTTAACAGCCTCATGCCTTTGGCAAATCCTGTTCTGTAGAAATAACCACTGTTAGTGACTTGGTACAGCCTCATACATCTTTTTTTTAGCACAGACAAATATAATGCATTTCCTAGATTCTAAGATATCTTATGCCACTCCAAAAGATGGTATTCTAGAACTAAGGAAAGATGGCTTTTGCCTATAAAACTAATTGCATGTATAGGATAGAGTTTTATTTTTGTGGAGGGGTTTGGTTTAACAGAAGCTAAATCATACCATTTATTCTTTTCAACTTGTTTCTTTTATTTAACAGATCCTGAACATCCTTTATGTCAATGTTTATAGATCTAGCTTATTACCTTTAGTGGCTCTTTAGCATTCCATGGTATGTAGGTCCCATAATTTATTTAACAATTCTTCTATTGCTAGACTTTTCAGGTAGACTTTTTTTAAAGCATATTCTGGCTCTCGCTCTAGGTGATGAAAAGAATTTTTACTATTACAAATGATGTGATAATGAGCATCCTTATACATATATTCTTTCACATTTATGTGTTTATGTTGGGAAGAGTTCTAGAAATAAGCCAAATATTATTTGCATTAAAAGTTGGTGTTATTAAATATGCCAGTGCTCCTCCAAAAGTTTTACCAGTTCATACTCTACAGAATAAGGGCCTTAATTTGGTATCCATAGATAGGAGTCTAGGGATCGGTTTTCCGGTACATTTTTCTCAAGAGATGGTCCTTAGCTTTCAGCAGATTTTGGCCCCTGTTTAGGTAATAAGGAGAGTAATGTGAGAAATCCGAAACACTGATGATATTCTGTTTCCTAACTGATCTGTGCCCCTGTATCATCTGCCTGTTGCACATGTCTGTGTCAGAGCACCAGGACAGTTCTCTCCCTTTCTTTTCTCCTGATCAGGAATGAAAGGGTTTTGGAGGCAATGACAGAAAGAGCTGAGATGGATGAGGTGGAACGTTTCCAGCCACTGCTGGATGGATTGAAAAGTGGGACCTCCATTGCACTCAAGGTATGTATATCCACTGAAAGTGGGCCCAAGAGTAGAATTCAAGATGGAAAAACTTAATTCATTTAACCTCTTAATAGAACACATGGAATAGTTCCCAACTATACTTTTTATATTTCAGAATTTGTTCTAAAGGGAAAATGATTATCCTTCTCCCTAAGAAGGCAGAGGAAGAACTGTTTTCCTCATTATGAGATGGGAAAAAGGCATAGTATCTATTTACAAGCTAGGAAAACCAAGGCCTAGAACAAAGTATACCATCAAATCATTGGAATTGTTTAGACCTCTGCTATCCAGACCTGTGCTCAAACCAGGTCTTATGGCTCCAGCAGAAAGTCACCCTGGTAGTTTTGTACTGCATTTTCAAGGCTGTATTTGGGACCCCCAAAATGCGTGGAAAGAGAATGGAATCTGGATCTCTAGGAGGTAACACTGATATAGCTACTGAATTTTCTTTTTTAGGTGGGATGCCTACAGCTGATCAATGCTCTCATCACACCAGCTGAAGAACTTGACTTCCGAGTTCATATCCGAAGTGAGCTGATGCGCTTGGGGCTGCATCACGTGCTGCAGGTGAGGTTCAGCACCTCATTGGAAAGTCTGGGCCGATTCCTTCTTGCTCATACTGCCCAGTCATCCCTGGAATAACTGGTTTTCAATTTAAAAACCAGGGTAAAAGGTTTGGGTTTCTAGCCAGCACAGGACACTTTTGGGTTCCCTGACTTCTCCTTTTGTCACTGACAGAACCTTCGGACGATTGAAAATGAAGATATGAGAGTGCAACTAGCTGTGTTTGATGAGCAAGGGGACGAAGATGCCTATGACCTGAAGGGACGGCTGGATGACATTCGAATGGAGATGGAATATCCTTTACTGACCAGGTTCAAGACGGAGGAGACATTCATTCGTAGATCCCTGTATGGAATGGTGTGGGAACGATGACTCAGCACAGGGCATCAGCCTGCGTGCCTTCTCAGTAGACAAGGCAGGTGTCTTTCGATTGCTGTTGGATTTATTTGCCTCAGCATGGACCAGGGAAGTTAGGAAAGGTGATCTAAAGGTTACTTAACATGGAAGCAGCCCTCAAAATTAGTATAGACCTCCTAGAACATGATAGCTTATTAAGATGCAGATTTGGTTTTTAGAGAACATACACAAGTCAGGGAGTGGGGTTGTAATTTGCTTTCTTGAGTGTGTTCCTGAGACTGACAGAGGGAGTAATTTGGTTACCTATTGGTATTTGCCACAAGTGACTTTGAGGTAGTCTTTTAGTTTCTGTCTACTGATTGATCTTCAAGCTAAATACTAGGAATCCTGTAGCTCTGTGTATGGTACCACCCAACTCACTGTCCTTTGACTAAAGGAAGTTTACAGAGCTTAAGGTTTCAGGCAATGTTTACAGGAAAAATAGCTGTTAGAATAGAAGAGAATCTTGCTACTTTTCCCGAGAGTTGGGGAAGCCACCTGTCAGGTTCTAAATATATGCTTTCCTTAGCCTTTTCCCCTTTCCACTGACTTCAGTGAAGTCTTCCAGATTCTCTTAAACACAGTGAAGGATTCAAAGGCAGAGCCGCACTTCCTGTCCATCCTGCAGCACCTCCTCTTGGTCCGAAATGACTACGAGGCCAGGTAAAATGGTATACCTGTGGGAAGTTTTAGATTTGAGCCTAAGTAGAAAGTGCAGAATCCTTAAATCCAAAGATTGTCTGCAAAGGGACAAAGAAGAGACAAGAATTAGGTTTCATTTTTAATCATAGACATAAAGGGAGTTGTCACTTGTCCCTTTCATCCACCTAAAGGCATCTCTATGGAAGAGGTCAGAGTGCAAAAGATGAAATGCCCTTTTTCGGAGCAGGGTGGTAGGGTGGGGTGAAGATGATAGCAGAGGGAGGTAGCAATTTAAAATTTTTTCAGGTTGCTTGATAGTAGAGTTCTAGCAACAGTCCTGTCCATGACAGGAAGGCTCAAGCCCAGGTTTTTAGATGGGCAAGGATTGGCACTAGAACGCAGAGGGCAAGAAGTTTTGATTATATGAAGTAGATGGGGTAGGTGATGTGGAAGAGGGTGTTTCTTAGCATGGCAGCAGCACTTCTGTTAATTTTGTGAAAAGGTCTTTTCCAGAACACTTTATCCTCAGGTCTCTCTGTTGTCAAAGCAGTTCACTTTTCTTGATCCTGAACACTTCTGAAAATTCTATTGTGGTTTTCCTTTAATGACCCTGTTTTGTTTCCTCCACAGACCGCAGTACTATAAGTTGATTGAAGAATGTGTTTCTCAGATAGTTCTGCGCAGGAATGGGGCCGATCCTGACTTCAGGTGCCGGCACCTCCAGATTGATATTGAGCCATTGATTGGTAAGTGCACTCTTCTATCTGGTTCCTTAAAATATTGCTTCTACCTTTCATTTTGCATGTTTCTTTCAGTGAAAATTTCAGAGGAAATTTTCTAGTTTCTAGGTATTTACCTTTCTTAAGTGTTTACCAACATCTATGCTAAGAATATACAGGCCTTTAGTTTATTTCTACATAATCTAAAAATGTCCCCCTTCTAACATACTACCCCACTTTTTGAAGGGACTTTATTAGCTATTATCTGGGACTTCTGGTGGTCTCAGGGATCCATAGGTATGACTTGTGCCACCCAGCATGGTGGCCTTACTGCATAACAGGCACTCAGAAATTTTATGTTGAATTTAACTGAAAGTTTCCTTTCTTTGTCTAGTGCAGAACATTATCAAGGATAATAAAATAAAGAGACCGAAAACTGCCCTTTCGTTTTATTGACGGGCTTAGGTAGTGAGAGGGGAAGACAAGAGAATTGGGATCTTTACTTCCTGATTCTTCTTCTTTTCAGATCAAATGATTGATAAAACAAAGGTAGAGAAATCTGAAGCCAAAGCTACAGAGCTGGAAAAAAAGGTGTGTATGAGAAATCAAAAAAATTGGGGAATATCTTTCTTTGTCTAATGATTATGATGTTTCTGACATGTGAGACAGTTACCTGTGATATTTTGAAAATATTCAGCACACAATAGCAGTTCCTAGGGGAAACTTTCTGGTGTACGTTACCCAGGGGGAAAGTGGTACGTGTGTGATCATGAGCAGCTAGTTAGTGATGAGTTTGCAGAATTCTTGGGCCCCTGGGCAGGACAGGAAAGACAGATGACACTCATATGATAGCGAGAGCACTCTCAGGTTTGCTTGACATCTCAGGCCTCTTATCCCTCGAACAATAGGAAACTGGAATATGTCTGAATTCTCTTTTTTCTTTTCAATTGTTAAAGACTCCTACTGTGATTGATAGGCTTTGATCATAGAGACTACCATGGCTTTCTTGGTTAAATGTCTTTAAACTCTTAGTTTTTTATTTTTTTAATTATAACTCCAAAAATAGAGACTGTGGAAATGGTGCCTGGATGCCCCCTTATTTAACCTTGATTTTAAGGTCAAAATCATGGTGCTATTTTTTTCCAGGCATTCCCTGGGTCAATGAGCTCTATAGATCAAAGATTGGCACAAAACAGTAAATTATGGGGAATAACATTGTGCTTCTTGCTGAGATGGAGAACTTACTGGGGGCTTGATTTCTTTCTCCTTTAGCTGGACGTAGAGTTAACAGCACGACATGAGCTACAGGTGGAAATGAAAAAGATGGAAAGTGACTTTGAGCAGAAGCTCCGGGACCTTCATGGAGAAAAGGATAATTTAGATTCTGAAAAGCAAAAAATTGCCACAGAGAAACAGGACCTGGAAGCAGAGGTGTCTCAGCTCACAGGAGAGGTAACGTCTGAGCAGGGAAGGCAGTGACCTGTAACTGCCATCAGCAGCCTCAGGATGAGCCTGTCTTAGAGCAGGAGTTGTCTTACTCCTAGAGAGGGTTCAGCTACTAATAGGTAATCTGTTGGGTTGTCAGAAAAGTCATGACGTATTTTTCTGTTTTTCGTTGCAAAATTGCGTCATGACTTTTCTGACAACCCAATTGTTAGAAAGTGCGTATTAAAAAAAATTTTTTTATTTGTTGCTCTTATTTTGTTTGTTTGTTTTATTTTGGCAGTAAATAATACATAAAATGGAAAATTTTAAAAACATGGAACAACATAAAGAATAAAATGAGTAACAGTACTACCCAGAAATAAAGATAATAGTCTTCTAATAAATTTAGGATTCGAAACTAAATAAACTATTCTCATATTTGCTCATTTAAAATTTTTTTTTATTTCAGTCATCTCTGGGCAGATTTAGCCCCACATGCACTCTCTGCAGTTGTAAATATTTAAATGATCTGTGATATCTGATAACTTGATCACTTATGTTGTTATATAATTACCTGTATAGCACATGTGTTAATTATGTAACTAGAATACTTGATTTACTTAATCTTTGCATTTTCTGATCAAAGAGAGAGTTTACCATAAAGGTTAAAGTTGTGTTTTTAATGCGAAGCATGCTGAGCTAAGAACATAAAGACTTGGACTCTACTTTTGGCTTGCCACTGAATAGCTATGTGACTTTAGGTGAATCATATCATGTCTGACGTCTTTCACTCCATTCATGTATAAAATGAAACATTGGGATTAAGTAATTTCGCAGGTCCCTTCTAGCCCCAGTTGTCCCTGAAGTGGAGTGAGAAGTAAACTCCCATTGATGTTGTTTCTCTAGGTTGCCAAGCTGTCCAAGGAACTGGAAGATGCCAAGAAAGAAATGGCTGCTCTCTCTGCTGCAGTTACTGCTGTAGCCCCTCCCAGCAGTGCTACTGTTCCCCCTGCCCCTCCTTTACCTGGTGACTCTGGCACTGTTATTCCAACCCCAACCGAAGCAGGAGGGGTTAGCATACCCCCCCAACCACCTCTTTCAGGGGCTGGTACTATTCCTCCTCCACCACCTCCCCCTCCTTTACCTGGGGGTGTTTACATCTCCCCACCCTCTCCTTTCCCTGCCATCCCCCCACCTCCTCCTTTACCTGGGGGTGCTGCCATTCCCCCACCCCCTCCTTTGCCTGGGAGTGCTGCCATCCCCCCACCCCCTCCTTTGCCTGCGATCCCCCCACCTCCTCCTTTACCTGGGGGTGCTGCCATTCCCCCACCCCCTCCTTTGCCTGGGAGTACTGCAATCCCTCCACCTCCCCCTTTGCCTGGGATTGCTGGCATCCCCCCACCTCCTCCCTTGCCTGGAGGACCAGGAATACCACCTCCCCCTCCCCCTCCTCCTGGTGGTCCTGGAATCCCCCCACCTCCTCCATTTCCTGGAGGCCCTGGCATTCCTCCACCTCCACCTGGAATGGGTATGCCTCCACCTCCCCCTTTTGGATTTGGAGTTCCTGCAGCCCCAGTTCTGCCATATGGATTAACCCCAAAGAAGCTTTATAAGCCAGAGGTGCAGCTCCGGAGGCCAAACTGGTCCAAGGTGAGACTTTCTGTCCATTTCTTTATTAGTATATATTAAGAAACCATCTCACTTTCCTACTTTGTATTTTGTACATGGTTGGGTTTCCCTTTCTTTTTTTTTTAAAGATTTTTTTAATTGGGAAATTGAGGGAGAGGAACAGCATTGGGGAATCAGGGAAGGGGAACAGACAAGTTGCTGTCATTTTGTTCTTCAGTCTAGTTGTGGAGCACGTTGCTTCACTGACCCATGTTGGTATTAATCGTTGCTCTCTTCCTGGATGAGGCAGATCGGTTGCTGGGCCCTGGACGGCCTCTCACGGCAGCTGCCAGCCCCTCAGTGCTTTTTACAGCAGCCCATTGCAGCTCCACTGCAGCCTATGCTGTCGCCGGCGACTCACAACAGCCCAGCTCCAATTCGAGCTGTTGTTCACCATCTTAGCTGTAGAGGGCACAGCGTCACTGGCCCATGTGGGATCCGAACCCGGGCCCTGTTGCTCAGAGCTGGTGTCCCAAGCCAACTCTTAACCAACGCACCACTCAGCCAGCCTAGGGGTTTCCCTTTCTTGTAGCTCACATCTGTCTGTCTTCAAGTGCCACTCATGCTTATGTGTATTCAGCAGATATTAGGCATCTCCTGTATGCTAGACATCACTTTGGAGAGTTTTTTTGAGCCCTATATGCTGCTACAAAACCTAAACTTAAATTAGTATTTGGGGCCTTTGAGGATATGAGGGCCAGGGTAACATATTGTTTGATAATAGTCATTTCATCAGTCTTCAAGGTACTGATAATTTTACTGACCTAAAGTCCTGGATTCATGGATACAGTCCCCCTACCTCCCTCTTCCAGTAACTACACAGGATATGTTTGCATGGCCCAGTATTGTTCTCACTATGTGTTTGAGACCCCTAGGGTTCTGCATCAGCCTTTTGCTTCCAGAAACCAAGTTAAAGGAGTTCAGGGATTTGTTCATAAAATGAATGCATTTGTCACAGTTAGATAAATTGATGGGAAAATACATAATGCAGAACAAGGGAAGATGTGAAATAAAGCCTAAATGCTTCTAAAACTAGAGGATTTGAGGTTAGAAGGAGGATATGTAGCATAACTACATCTAGTTCTTGAATAATTATCAGTAAACAAACTGTAACCCTCTCCTGCTGAGCCCACCAGGAAGAGCACAGCTGTCTCTGTGTCTCAAGTCAGCCTGACTCCAGCATGACATTGCTAATATCCACCAGCCACCTCTTGCATCTTAATCAGTTTTATGGGATGGAAAGTACAGAGCTCAGCTTTAACTCTTAACACCCTGCTTGTATCCATAGTTTGTCGCTGAGGACCTTTCCCAGGACTGCTTCTGGACAAAAGTGAAGGAAGACCGCTTTGAGAACAGTGAACTTTTCGCCAAACTTACTCATGCCTTCTCTGCCCAGACCAAGAGTGAGTTCCTTTTTCTTTCATGCAAAGGGCCAGCATAGAACTTAGAATATCCTTTAAGTGGGTTTCCCATTCCTTTCCCTTCCCTGAGTGAAGGTTGAAGAGAGATAGCATTTCCTATTCGGAAGAAAATAAGATGTTTTTATACTCTGGGGATGCTGGGTTTGGATAAGAGAACTGTTGCATGTAGGGGTTCCCCCAGACCCCCCCAGTTTTTCTGTCTATAGGTATTTTATTTCTTAACAGGTGGGAATATGAGATTAAAGTGACAGAGTTCAGCCTGAGCATATTTTGATGATACTCTTGAACCGATTCTGGCATTGCCTTTAAGGTGCTAGCTAGCTCCAGATCTACATGCATAATTGATAAGGGTTGGGCAGAGTCTTTAATAGGTCAGGTGGTTGAGTGACTATCTACAGTGACAGTTAACCACATGTGATTCCTTTTTTCCATTTCTTACCAATATCGGACGCTTCCTCCTTCCTGGTCCTATGCTCCTGCAGCCTCAAAAGGTAAGAATACAGAAGAGCCTTTTAGTTGGGTCTTTTGAATATTAGAGAAAAAAATGAAACAGATATAAAGGAATTTCTCTTTAGAAAACTGAGACTAGAGATCAGGGGGTTGATTTCTCTTGCTGGTTTTTTTTTTTTTTTAAGAGTACAGAAGGACCAGTAGCTATGATGTTAGCTGACAGGGAAGAAAAGTAAGTTGAAGTTGAAGGTAGCATATACTTATCCTTTCTTTGGAAGGTGAGGGACAACTTAAGTAATAATACCATTATCTTACATTTGTGTGGGTTTTACAATTTTCAAAGTTCTTTAACATAACATTACCCTATTGGACCTGCAAAGTAGCCTTATGATATAGACAGGATGTGTGTTATCTCCACTCCTGTAAAATACGTATATGAGCTGAATAGTTAGGTAGCTCACCCAAGACTATATGACCGGATCCAGGAGTCTTCTGGTCCTTTTTTTCATATAAATTCTTGCTTTTCTTCTTCATCTTCATATCTTTCCCTTTATTTTAGAAGAGCGGATCTATTTTTCCTTCTTCTTTCTTCACTTCCTAATTCTCGTGGATTTTGTGCCCCTTTAATATGCCTTCTGATAATTTTATATTTCCATCTCTTCTAGCTTTTTTGTTTATTTAGAGGTTTATTATGACCCTAGTGATGAAAACTAAGCACAACTTTGGAGCATCTCGCATCTCCCCCCACCCCTTGCCCAGTAAATAAGCATTTTTATTTTATTTATTTATTTATTAAATTTATTATTATTTTTTTAACTTTATTGGGGAACAGTGTGTTTTTTCCCAGGATCCATCAGCTCCAAGTTAAGTTGTTGTCCTTCAATCTTAGTTGTGGAGGGCGCAGCTCAGCTCCCAAGTCCAGTCGCCGTTTTCAGTCTAGCTGCGGGGGGCACAGCCCACCATCCCATGCGGGAGTCGACTGGCAACCTTGTTGTTAAGAGCACATATTCTAACCAACTGAGCCATCTGTTGGCCCACTGGCACCTCAGCTCGAGTCATTGTCTTCAATCTAGTTGCGGAGGGTGCAGCTTACTGGCCCACGTGGGAATCAAATTGGCAACCCTGTTGCTCAGAGCTTGCGCTCTAACCAACTGAGCCACTCAGCCGCCCCAATAAGCATTTTTAAAGATATTATGTTTTTCCTTAAGTGATCTTAAGGTTCCTTAAGGGACCAGGCTACACTTGGTTCTAATAAGGAGCCTAACAGATTGCTCGGTGCCTTTGGTGGCCTTACATGTGTGTATCTAGAAGTGTAAGATCACAGTGCTCAGGCCTGTCCTGTTGCCCTAGCTTTCAGGTCAAAGTGGCCTTTTCCTCTAAGAGAACTGTCACCTTCTGTACTAAAGTCCAGCTCAGGGAATTACTTCTCCCCTCTTAGTTAAAAATGTTGTGCTAATGACCACTTAGACTACTCTAGTACATCAACAAAGACCAGTTGACAGTGAAAATCAAAGTCAAATGATTTGCTGGTTTGTAAGTTCACAGAATCTATCCCTGTGCTGACTTCTGGTGTAAGTTCCTTTCTTGTGACTGGGCTCTTAATGCCACCGCAAATGTACACTGGCAGGGTCCCTTCTCCCCCTCTTCTGTCCCCATCCTTTTCATCCTATACATTTGTGTTACCATTGATTATAGTGGGGTTTTCTGCAGTTTAGTAGTTTTCCTTGGCATTATATTCCCACTGTGAATTGGTATGTAGTATTTTAAAATACCTAAGCAAGACCTTATCTCATCTTTTTTATTTTCAACAGTGTAATCAAACTTGTTAATGCTCCTTCAGCTTTCAACTTCAGCCCTGGAAACTACTTTCTATTCATTGAAGGTCCTAACTTCCTTACAGCTTTGGCTTTTTTTTTTCTTTCTTGAATTATTCTTAGAAGTCTCTGTATCTTAATCTGAAAAGAGTAAGGATGAATTTGTCAATTTAGTTTTAGTGGCAGTACTGATTTCCTTGTAGTAATCATCACTAGTAGATTGCTGTTATTTTGATGAAGCAAATTTCTAATTAGTCTTTATTTTATTCTAGTCCTTAAATATCTTTACTTTTAGTTAGGACTTTCAGGTGTTAAATTGGCACACTGTCTTAATTTTCCCATCTTTTCTTTAGGAAGCGTTACAGAAGGTGTTCCCAGAAATTATGAAATCATGAGCAATTTTCCCAACAGCCTAAATCTTAATCGATTATTTTAAGAAATTCCTGAAAGAGATTTTTTTTTCCTGTCAACTATAGTCATAAGTACTTAACTGTTTACCCAACTCTAAATTATCTGTAACATTCAGATGCAACAAAGCCTTCCTGCTTCTTGTCAACCATGCCTCATCTATATTTTTTCAATCATTTTCCCCCAAGGAACAAACACCCTTTAAAAAAATAATTTCTTCTTGGGATTTTCAGTTTTACTGACTTCAGTGTTGTTTTGTTAATTTTTTTCCTTCTACATTTTCTTGCTTTCTTTCCCTTTGAGTTAACTCTGTAAATCTATGGCGATGCAAGCAGTATTTGAAGGGGCTTGTTTTAAGGTGTGTTTCTTCAGGACAAAATAGTTGCTCTGATATCATATGCATGGGCATCAAGTGGCAGATAGAAGTGTTGCATATGGACCCAGTGCCATGTATACTGTGATTGGGGTAACCAGCTTGTCTTTTCTTTCCTGATGCACCTTTGATCCCCCCTCACTTGGTGCTCAGTCTGACATACTCAATACAGACTGTTCCTAAGTGGCCTCCTTCCTCACAACATGCCCCAAAATAACACTTGAGTAAAAAAGACTCTGGGCTTCTTAGAGTCTACGTTTTTATCAGGTAAGGAATGTCAAGCTCTAGAAATTTCAGACGTGAGGATTCAGAGGACCCAGATCTCATCAGTATGAAAGCAAGGTTTGCTTTGCTTCTGGTGCTTTCATTAAACTTGTCTGGTATAATATTTCAGAACTTTCCCCCTTAATTTTTTCTTCAAGTTGGTAAGTTCAGTTTCAGTTACTAAGTCTCTCATTCATAGCCTTAATATTGATGATACAATTTTTTTATTGGCTTTGTTTAGCAATTCATGAATTGGGCAGCATCCTATCTAGTGACTAGAAGGGCGCTCCCCTCTTGATGATATCACTGAATGATAAATAAACACTCATTATTACTCTGTAAAATATTCCATCTTCCAAATGAAAAAATTGAGGCATGGGTTAAAAACTTTTTCAAGGCCATATAGTAAGTGCCAGAGCCAGGGTTCATACTCGACTATGTGACTCCACAGACCTTGCTGTAGCCCTCTGCTTCTCAGAAGTGTATGTCCTTGCCCCAAGAGCTTCTGAAAGCCTAAATCCAGACAGAGGCGAGAAGAAGGGGATACGCTGGCTTCCGCAGCCAGCCACTTCATTCAGGCACAAATGTCCTTGAGTTGGCAGTGACTCTTAGGAGTATAAAAAAGGAACAACATTAGGTTAGGGAAAGTAAGTCGCTGGAAAAGTAAGATACTGGATATTTAGGGCTGAAGAAAAGGAGCCATGTTCTGATTACAGTATATTCAACTGTAACAAAACAAGTCCAGTTGAAGAAATAAGGCATGCTTATCCAGTTCTAGTAGAAGCCCTGCTTAGATGATTTTAGCTCACTAGTTGCCAGTCTTGATGAGGAAGTTATTTGCACACTACGTTTTCATAATATTGCATTATTTCCTTTCTCACTTGCTAAACACAACTCTGCTGTTTGTTAAACATGGCTGTATCCCCCTTATATTTTTTTGCTGCCCGAAAGCTCCCGTGTACCTACTGGCTCCACCAAGAATGGACAGCAAAGAAAACATCCACCTCACTCTTTACAATTGCCTCCGATAGTCAAAGGTCCCCAGCCACTGCTGCTCTAAGGTTCAAGATGTGTGCCTTTTTCTGAGAGAGAGGAACGGTCCTCAAATTTATACTACAGGTTCTCTCTCAAGGATTTTGTTCTGAACTCTGGACTTCCTATAAATCAGGAATTTACTTAGTCAATTTATTCATTGCCAAGAGACTATTTTGAATTCAGATTCGATAGGCAGTGCTATAAAATTTCTAGTCCTTTTCCACTTTCTCACTTTCCTTATGGTGATCACTAAGAAGTCTTTTAGAATGGTCTCTTTGTTGGCTCTGCTTCTTGAATTCCTTGGGAACATGTTCAGTATTAATTTTTTTAATCTTCTCCTAGGAATATTTTCATCACTGTGGTGGCCTCAGGTCACTGTAAGTAGAAGATAATTAGTTTTCTTTCTGCTTTTCCTTCTGACTTGTTGATATGATCACATTAAAACCATTACCTTTTGAAACATAGTGTGGTAAGTGATAATTGCTGTTCCAAGTACAGTGGCGTTTTTTTCTTTTTTAGAGTTGTTTCTTCCTTCCAAAAACCTTTTGGACCTGTAAGATCCACAAGCTAAGCCCCTTTAGTAGATGTGCAGTGGACAATATGTAGCACTAGATCATCTCTCTGTCTAAGTATGAGGTGCATTGTGGGAACTGGGAGCATCAAAACGGTTCTCCAAGTGGTGAATGGCAGTCATTTAGAAAGAACACTGGCAACAAAAGAAGATTTTGACCAAGAGCTGAGAGCTTCATAAACAATGACATAAACAAGTATTCTAGTTAGGAGATGACTATGCGGTTCCAGATCCCAAGGTCTGTGCTGTTGGCCCACAAGTCAGAACTGTGGGCAGCAGTGGGTAGGTTTACCTGTCTGTTGTTCTCTCAGAACTTTTGTGGTTCTGGCTTCAACATGACCCTGTGGTGGGGAGGCAACCCCCTCTTTCCCAAAGGGGATCCAAGGGTCTTTTTCCTTTTCCCTATGATCCTCTTCTGTCCACTAGGTGGCACTCACCCAGTCGGATCTTTATCCGGAAAGGTCCTAGTGAATCTTTAGTTTATGCAACTTTAACCTCTAGAAACAAGATTTTTAAAGAGCTCAACATACTGCATCTTACTCAGGGAGCCTTTTGGCAGAAAGATGTCTGTTTCAT